GTGTATGTGGCACTGAGTAATAGAACCCAGGGCTTCATGCATGCTAGGCAAGCAATCTACCATTTAGCCACATTCCCAGTCATGAGATGTGTTTTTAATTTGCATTTCCTATGGTTAGTGATGCTGAACACCTTTTCATATAGCTGTTGGCTATGTGTATCATTTTTTTTTTTTTTGGGGTTCGGTTGTGGGGCCTGAACTCTGGGCCTGGGCGCTGTCCCTCAGCTCTTCAGCTCAAGGTTAGCACTCTACCACTTGAGCCACAGCGCCATTTCCAGCTTTTTTCTTATGTGGTGTTGAGGAATTGAACCCAGGGCCTCAGGCATGCAAGGCAAGCGCTCTACCACTGAGCCACCTTCCCAGCCCGTATATCATTTTTGGAGACATGTCTCTAAATCGTTAGCTCATTTTAAAATAAAATTTTCTTTTCTGCTAGATTGTGGAAGTTCCTTATATATTTTGGATATTAACTCCACATCAGATACAGACTGAGCATCCCTGATCCTGGATTCAAAATGATCCAAAGTCTGGTACTTACTGGGCACTAACATGATGCTACAAGTATAAATTTCCTTAATTCCTTAAATGACAGGTTGGAATCAAAACATGGGTATGCAACACAGTTCATGTAGTGATAGTGTCTCAAAGAGGGAAAGACCTTCTTCTTTTTTTTTTGGTTCCAGTCATGGGGCCTGAACTCTGGGCCTGGGCGCTGTCCCTCAGCTCTTCAGCTCAAGGCTAGTGCTCTACCACTTGAGCCACAGCACCACTTCCGGCTTTTTTCTTTTTGCTTATGTGGTGCTGAGGAATCGAACTCAGGGCCTCATGCTTGCAAGGCAAGCACTCTACCACTGAGCCACTTAACCAGCCTGGGAAAGACCTTTTTTTTTTTTTTTTTTAAATTTTATTGATTTTATTTTATTTTATTTTTTTTGGGGGGGGGGGTCTGGTCGTGGGGCCTGAACTCTAGGCCTGGGCGCTGTCCCTCAGCTCTTTAGCTCAAGGCTAGCGCTCTACCACTTGAGTCATAGTGCCACTTCCAGGTTTTTTCTTTTTTTGCTTATGTGGTGCTGAGGAATCAAACCCAGGGCCTCAGGCATGCAAGGCAAGCGCTCTACCACTGAGCCAACTTCCCAGCCCATGGGAAAGACCTTCTTAATCCCCGTTTATTTGGCTGTAGAAATGTATTTTCTGCACATGACATGTCCAAATTCCTCTATGCAAAGCTGCCTAGAGAAAGTAATAAAATGCACCTGTATTGTGTCTTACACAATTTGAAAACATTGTATAAAACTATCTGTAAGACTATATGTATAAAGTATATAGGAAACATGAATTTTCTGGTTAAATTTGGCTCCTGTCCCCTAAGATATCTCATTATACAAATATATACAAATATTCCGAGATCTGGAAAATATCCCAAATCTGGAAGTATTTGTTCCAAGTCTTTCACATAAAGGGTTCTTGTGTGTGTGTGTGTGTGTGTGTGTGTGTGTGTGTGCATGTGTGTGTGCATGTGTGTGTGTGTGCGCGCGCGCGTGTGTGTGTGTGTGTGTGTGTGTGTGTGTGTGTATTTTATCTTTTTCTCCCATTCTGTTCGTTGCCCTCTCATTTTTTGTCCTACACAGAGACTTTGTAGTTGCACTTGTCTTTTTTGTTGTCTGTCCTATCATTGTTAAAACCAATGTCATAAAGCTTTCCCCCTCGAGGTTTTTTTTTAAAGTTTCATTTTTTTGTTTGTATGCTTTGTATATTTGTGGTACCAGGGATTCAACTCATGGCTTTATATTTGTGAGGTAACTTCCCTGCCACTTGAGGCCTAGTTTTTTGCTTTTACTGTAGTTTCTTTTTCAGATAGTGTCTGTCTCACACTATCTTTGCCTAACCTGTTTTTGTTTTGTTTTGTTTTGTTTGGTCAGTCGTGGGGGTTTTGAACTCTGGGCTTGGGCCCCGTCCCTACGCTCTTCAGCTCAAGGTGAGCTCTCTACTGCTTGAGCCACAGTGCCACTTCTGGTTTTCTAGTGGCTTATTGGAGATAAGAGTCTCAGGACTTTCCTGCCCGGGCTGGCTTTGAACGGAGATCCTCAGATCTCAGCCTCCTGAGTAGCTGGGATTACAGATGTGAGCTACCAGCGCCTGCTCCTGGTCTGGTTTTGAACATAGATCCATCTGTCTCTGCCTCCTGAATAACTTGGATTACAAGTGTGTGCCACTTTGCCTGGCTATGGTTGTAGATTATAATAAGTTTGCTGGTTTATTCTTTATTTTCAGGTATTATAATCTCAGCCTCTCTCTAATGTTCATATGCTATAACATGGATTCTCTGAAGCAGGAGCATGCTGCCCATTTTTTTTCTTTTTCTTTTTTCTTTTGTGTATGTGTGCTAGTCTTAGGGCTTAAAATCAGGACTTTATGGCTTCACTTTTTATTCAAGGCTGATACTCATTTAAGCCATACCTCCACTTAAAGCTTTTTCCTGGTTAATCGGAAAGTCTCAAAGACTTTTCTGCCTGGGCTGGCATTGAACTGTAATCCTCAGATCTCCTGAATAGCTAGTATGACAATTGTGATCCACCATTGCCTAGCCCCACCCAGCTGCGTTTGTTCCCAGTGGCCTCAGGCATCTTGAGTGTGCCAAATCTTGTCAGCACTCTGAGTCAGTCTAATCAAAAGCTATATCCTTCATTGCTTTAAGCATATTCATGCAAATATCTGTACAGTACAAAAAGGTTTTATCATGAACATAATATGATCTCTCAGATCTCCAGTGAGTCTTAGGATCAGGGTTTTGTTGAAACTCACTCAGAATGGCTGCTACTTTATTGAATTGAGGAAATTCCTTGTCTCAGTGTTTTTAATAAAAAATGATGAATGGGGGCTGGGAATGTGGCTTAGTGGTAGAGTGCTTGCCTTGCATGCATGAAGCCCTGGGTTTGATTCCTCAGTACCACATACACAGAAAAAATTAGAAGTGGCACTACGGCTCAAGTGGTATAGTGCTTGCCTTGGGCAAAAGAAGCTCAAGGACAGTGCTCAGGCCCAGAGTTCAAGCCCCAGGACTGGCAAAAAAAAAATATGAATGAACTGGGCACCAGTGGTTCAGGCATTTCTATAACCTCAGTGATGGTTATTAATGTCCTCTCTAGCCAGGTGCTGGTGGCTCACACTTATAAATCCTAGCTACTCAGGAGGCTGAGAACTGAGGATTGTGGTTCACAGCCAGCTCAGGCAGGAAAGTCTAGGAGACACATCTCCAGTTAACCACCAGAAAACCTGAAGTGAAGCTGTGGCTTAAAGTGGTAAAGCACTAGCCTTGAGCACCTAGGCCCTAGGTTCACGCCCCTTGCTTCTACCCTCCAAAAAAAATTTCTCTCTACTTTCTATTTTGAAATGGTTGTCAGCCATAATTCTCAGGCAATGCTATATAGAACATTAGAAATTATTCCTCCTATCCAGCTATCCTCACTCTACTCTCCTAGGATTTAGTAACTGTTATTCAATACCAATGAGGTCAAGTTTTTAGCTTTCCTATGTAAGTGAAAACGTGGGATGTTTCTTCCTCAGCCTGACTTATTTCACTAAACATAATGTCTTCCAGTTCCAGCTATCTGTGTTGCTGTGAATGACAGCATTTAATTTTATTGCCTAAATAATATTGCAGTGTGTACCGAGTCTTCATTTTCTTTTGTATTGGTTTGTTTTTATAGTGCTAGACATTGAACACAAAGACTCTGGGTAAATTATTCTGAGCCAAGTCCCATTCTCTACCTCATGTTTTGGAGGTACATGGGGTACTAAGGACCTTATATTTGCTAGCCAGGAACTATGTCATTTGAGCCATGTCTCTGTCCCTTTTTTGTGTTGGCCCTGGGGCTTGAACTTAGGGCCTGGGCACTGTCCCTGAGCATTTGTGCTCAAGGTTCTTTGAGATATAGTGCCATTTTTGGTATTTATTTATTTTTGTCAGTTGTGGGGCTTGAACACAGGGCCTGGGTACTGTCCCTGAGCTCTTTCACTCAAAGCCAGAGCTCTGCCACTTTGAACCCCAGCACTATTTCTGGTTTCTTTTGAGTAGCTAATTAGAGATGAGTCCCATGGGTACTTTTCTGCCCAGGCTGGTTTCGAACTGCCATCCTCATAGCTAAGATGACAGATGACTTCTATTATACCCAGCATGTTTGTTGATATTTGATCTCACTTTTTGCCTGCCTGTGCTGGTCTTTCAACATTTTTTTGATCTCCCAGATAGTTGGTTGGGATTATAGATGTGAGCCATGGTGCTTCCCATATTTTCTTTATCTAGTCATCTATGGATGGGTTCCTAGGTTGATTCCATCTTGGCTCTTGTGAAAAGTGCTGCAATGAACAGGAAAATGCAATATCACTTTGATATACTTATTTTATTTCCCTTGGGGTGGTGCATTCTTTCATCAGGAACAGAAGGTACATGTTGGTAGTTTGCTTTTATGGCACAATCAGCTATTGACAGATGGCTGGATTTTTATTAGAGATCGTCAAATGGTGATGTTCTAATTGTATCATTCCCTCCTGATTAGCATATATTGTTCAAAATAAGGGATTTAGTTATGATGCTCTTATATATACATTCAATGTTCTTTGATCATACATACCTTGATCACCCTCACTTGGCTCTCATTCGTTTCCCATTCTTCCTTTTCTATTTTTATGTTTTTAAAAAAGTCTAGATTCTCCATGTATCTCATTCCCTCTTTATTGGCTAACATAGTTAAAATATATAGATATTTGTTATCTAGTGTTCATATTAATGAATTTAATTTTCAGAATAATGAATTAATTCATTATAGTGTCCTCTGGTTCTGACTGGTTATGGTTTAAGGGTTGGTTTTGTCCTTACGAACTAATGTATTTAAATGTGTATGCTATGTTTCCATCAATTTTAAAGTTGATAAAACTTATTCTATTACAATTATCTTTTAGGATTGGAAATGGATAGATTATTTTTTTCTGTTTTCTTCTAGCTTGCATTTATGCCGGCTTCTCAGTGAAAATAAAAGCCATGACAGTTCTACTTACAGAGGTATGATATTTAAAAGTATTCATAGCTACTTCTGGCTTGACTAAACATAATAATTCTTTATTCATTAAGTATGGGAACCAAAGGTAGGAGTTCACATTATATACAGCATGTATATAAATGGATTAGAGTTGAAATTAAAATTATCAAAAGACTATGTATCTTGTATATATACTGATGTTATTTGACCTGTATTTTAGTCATATGCTGTTTCCAGACTTTTGTATATTTAGTTCAAGTTCAGTTGTAGCTGTACCAAGCATAAAATGAAAGAGAAAGCCAGCATGGAAAGAAAAAGAGTTTTGGTCTCGTTTGTATCAGAAAATTTCCACAGACTGAGTTTGGTGTCTGGGGATCTTGTTAAAGGCAGTTGTCATAGAAAACATTAAGAGCAAAGGAGTTGTTTACAGCATAGCACAAAATGGATTTGCTAAGTTAAATGCTATATAGTTAAACAGGGTATTTGTTTTAGATTTAAAAGATTTTGCTGTTTAATATTTATTAATTGAAAGTTAGGCATATGGATTTGGCAGAAGAGGGGCAAAATACAAGCGCTTGTATATAGCAAGTTTAAAATACTTTTTTTTTTAAAGAACATTAAAGTTCTTTTATTACAAAATTCTATACAATGAAGTGCCAGACACAGCAATACAATTATTCTGGTGGACATATATATCTATATATGATTTGTATATAGTTTTTATTGATACCACTGTATAACTATCACAAACTGCCTAATTCTACCACCTACAGTTCAACTATAACACACAATACTGTACAAAGCTTAAGTGCTGCCATGCCATTGTTAGCTATTCTACTCGCAGCTAAATATTAACAATATCTAACATCAGGAACTTTATTTTTTTTTGGTGTTGGTTCTGGGGCTTGAATTCTGGGCCTGGCACTGTCCTTGAGCTTTTTTTCTCTAAGGCTAGTCCTCTGCAGCTTGAGTTATAGCTCCACTTTTGGCTTTTTGTTGGGTTATTCAAGATAAGAATTTGAAAGACTTCTACTTGGGCTAGCTTCAAACCTTGGTCCTCAGGTTTCAGCCTACTGAGTAGCTAGATTATAGGCGTGAGCTACTAGCACTGGCTTTAAAGTATTTTTTTTTTTTTGGGTCCGGTCGTGGGGCCTGAACTCTGGGCCTGGGCGCTGTCCCTCAGCTCTTCAGCTCAAGGCTAACGCTCTACCTCTTGAGCCATAACACCACTTCCAGCTTTTTTCTTTTTGCTTATATGGTGCTGAGGAATGGAACCCAGGGCCTCATGCATGCAAGGCAAGCGCTCTACCACTGAGCCACCTTCCCAGCCCCTAAAGTATTTTCATATATACCCTTAAATATTTTTTTATTGTTATTGTAAAGGTGATGTACAGAGGGGTTACAGTTACATAAGTCAGGAAAAAGAGTACTTCTTTTTGGACAAATGTCATCCCTTCCCTTGCTATCTCCCAGTTCTTCCTTTTATCCCCACTCACAAGTTGTTTTGTTTTGTTTTTGTTTTTTTGGTCCGGTCCTGGGGCCTGAACTCTGGGCCTGGGCGCTGTCCCTCAGCTCTTCAGCTCAAGGCTAGTGCTCTACCACTTGAGCCACAGCACCACTTCCGGCTTTTTTTTTCTGCTCATGTGGTGGTGAGGAATTGAACCCAGGGCCTCAGGCATGCAAGGCAAGCGCTCTACCACTGAGCCAACTTCCCAGCCCACTCACAAGTTGTATAGTTAATTTTCAACATACTGTCTAGTGAGAACTGCTGCTGCATTTCATATGTACCTTTTAGTGAGGACAAAACCCATGTTTTTTCTAGTCAGTATTTTATTTGAACCTAGAAATCAATACATATAATTGATTAGTTATTTAGATTATACCTTTCTGACTGGAAGATTAAGAACAGAATGTTTTTCTATAAAACAGTTTATTTTATTCTATCATTAAATATTGCCTTGATGGGAGGAAGATACTTTTTATAGAACATTTGGTTGTAGGAAATAATTTTTAGATATTTGATTGAATACGATCCTTTTTTAAGTTGTTCATGGGGCTTGAGTACAAAGGCCTGAGCACTGTCTCTGAGCTTTTATTGCAGAAGGCTAACACTCTTATTATTTTGAGCCACAACTCCACTTCCGATTTTCTGGTGGTTAAGTAGTGATAGTCTTACAACAGACTTTTCTGCCTCAGCTGTGATCCTCAGATATCCACCTTTTGAATAGCTAGGATTACAGGCATGAGCTACCATTGCCCAGCTAAAGTCCTTTTTTGGCCAGTCCTGGGGCTTGAACTCAGGGCCTGGGCATTGTCCCTGAGCTTCTTTTGCTCTTCCACTTGAACCACAGTGCCACTTATGGCTTTTTCTGTTTTTGTGGTACTGAGGAATTGAACCCAGGGCTTCATGTATGCTAGGGAAGCATTCTACCACTAAGCCACATTCCTAGCCATAAGGTCCTTTTTTTAAAAAAGACTTAATGTCCCTTGCATGTGACCCTTCAAATTATTAACGTTTATTTTATTTTCAAGATGGTACAGTTTGGTGGAGGAAATGATATAGCTCAATGGTAGAAAATTTAGCTATGAACTGTTAGGCTCAAGCCTCAGCACTGCAAACAAAAATACTGTATAATCACTCATAAAAAATTGTGATTTAACATGCCTCAAGTTCCAGCTTTTTGCTAGTTAACGTGTCTCAGATTTGTCTCAGTCCTCACATCTCAGCCTCCTTAGCCACCAGTGTCTGGACCTAGGTGCTGTCCTTCAGCTCTTTAGCTCAAGGCTAGCGTTCTACCACTTGAGCCCCAGTGCCACTTCCTGTTTTCTGGTGGTTAATTAAAGAGTCACATGGACTTTCCTGCCCGAGCTGGCTTTAAACTGTGGTCCTCAGACCTCAGCCTCCTGAGTAGCTAGTATTACATGTGTGAGCCACCAGCACCCAGCTCCAGTGTCTGTTTTATAGTAACTTTTTAAAAGGCTTAGAACAAATGTCTTGTAAAAAAAAATCCTGAATAAGATTTTATTTTTTAAGCAATAAATGAACCTGGAATCCCTCAAAATTTAAAGGCTATAGTGAGGGGTTGGGAAAGTGACTTAGTGGTAGAGTGCTTGCCTAGCATGCCTGAAGCCCTGGTACCATATATACAGAAAAAGCTTGAAGTGGTGCTGTGGCTCAAGTGGTAGAGTGCTAGCCTTGAGCAAAAGAAGCTCAGGGACAGTGCCTAGTCCCAGAGTTCAAGCCCCAGGATTGGCAAAAAAAGAAGGCTATAATGAATCTATTACATAATAAGAACTTGTTTCGAGAACATGTTCAAGAGACACATGTGCCACTGGGCTCCTGTAGCTACTCAAGACGCTGAGATCTGAGGATTGCTGTTCAAAGCCAGCCCATGCAGGAAAGTCTGAGACTCTTATCTCCAATAAATTACCAAAAAAAAAAAAAAAAAAAAAAAAAGCCAGAAGTAGAGTTGTGGCTCAAGTGGTAGAGTACAAGCCTTTAGCAAAATAAGCTCAGGGACAGTGCCCAGCCCTGAGTTCAAGCCCCAGGACTGGAAAAAAAAGGAAACACATGTGCCTTTAAAAGGTCTTGAAAGATTTTTCACCATGAACTATGGACTGTTACCATTCCCAAACACTTTACCCACTAACACTAACATATCTGACTGTATATTACCATGATGACTATAGAGATTGATGTATGTTGATATGGTGTAAGTAAAAAAATATGACAGTATAAAATAATCCTTCATGAAACAATTAGCAGTGAATGTGGTAGTGTATGCCTATGATTCCAGAACTGGGGAGTTGGAGTCAACAGGATTGAGACTTGAAGGCCAGCCTGGATTATATAATGAGAGTCTGTATGAAATAACAAAAACAAGCCTGGTGCCAGTGGCTCACACCTGTATTCCTAATTGTTGCACAAAACCCGCCCAGCCTAGGCAGGAAAAAGTCTGTGAGACTCTTATCTTCAATTAACCACCGGAGAACCAGAAGTGGGGCTGTGGATCAAAGTGGTAGAGCGCTAACTAGCCTTAAGCTGAACAGCTCAGGGACAGTGACCATGCCCAGATATCAAGCCTCACAACTGCCCCCCCCAATAAAAAACACCAAAAAAGAACAACAAAACAGAAACTACCCATTTGGATACTAAATGTATTTTCTTTTTTTTTTTAATTGTGAAACTACCGTACAGAGGGGTTACAATTACATGGGCAAGGTAATGAGTACATTTCTTATCAAGCATTGTTGCCTCCTCCTTTGTTTCCCATTCCCATCCTTTCCCATCTCCCACCCCCCTAAATGTATTTTCTTTTTCATCCCCATGCTTTAAATTATTTTAAAACTTTTTTCATTTAAACCTTGTTTGATTAAAATCCTACATGGATATAAGAGAATGGCTTAAGTATATAATACAGTGTTACTGCTCATTAGCTTTAACTTGGATTGTAGATCTTTAGTAACTAGTGGATTATTGTGATTGTTTTGGTTCACATATGAAACCACAAGTATTTATGATTGTGATCTCATTGAATTGTCAGTATTCCCTTTTTTTTTTTTTTTTTGGAGGAAGGGTTTTTTTTTTTTTATTGTAAAGATACTATACAGAGGGTTACAGTTACATGAGTGAGGTAATGAGTACACTTCCTCTTGAACATTGTTACCCCCTCCATTGTTTTCCCCCTACCCAATATTCCCTTTTTTTATCTGAGTGTTTTTTCAGCACATGCATGCATGCACGCACGCACGCACACACACACACACACACACACACACACACACACACACACACACACACACACACACACACACACACACACACACACAGATTTTCTCCAGTAGTCCAGTTATGGTGTGAAGGCACGCGCGCGCGCGCACACACACACACACACACACACACACACACACACACACACACACACACACACACACACACACACACACACACACACACACACACACACACAGATTTTCTCCAGTAGTCCAGTTATGGTGTGAAGGCCCAGTTTGGTCCATGAAGAAAATGGACTTAATGCTATTTATTTATTTTTGTGTGTGTGGGTCCTAGGGCTTGAACTCAGGGCTGGGTTGCTGTCCTTGAGCGTTGTTACTCAAAGCTAGCACTTTACCACTTGAGCCACAGCTCCACTTCTGGACTTTTTGGTGCTTAATTGCAGACTACAGTCTCATGGACTTTCTTTCCCGGCCTGACTTTGAACCGTGATCCTCAAATCTCAGCCTCCTGAGTAGCTAGAATTACAGGAATGAGCCACCTGATTCCACTTGAATGCTATTTCTTCCTCAGAAGCTCCTTTGGAATTGAAGTATGGGCAGTTGTTTGTCCTGATCTTTCTTTCTGTCTTTCCATTGAATTAATTCAATTTTAGGAAGGCAATTTGCCTTGTATACAGCATGTGTATTAGAAGTTACCCCTGCCTCTTACCCATATAACAACATTGTGATTATGACTATTAAATATAGTGACATTAGACAGAACCAAGATCTGGTCTGTTCAGTTTTCAAACCTCACAGAGTACTTTTAGGAATTTCTAGAAGCCATTTTAGTGGCTATACATTTTTTTTTTTGTTGGTTGTGGGGCTTGAACTCTGGCACTAGGTTTGTTCCTGAGTGTTTCAGCTCTAGGCTAGTGCTCTACTACTTGAGCCACAGCTCCACTTCTGGCCTTTTTGGTGCTTAATTGAAGACAACAGTCTCATGGACTTTCTTTCCTGGCCTGACTTCGAACCGTGATCCTCAGCTCTCAGCCTTCTGAGTAGCTAGGATTACAGGTGTGAGCCACTGGCACAGGGCTACTTTTTTGTGTCTTTGAGAAAGGGTCTTGGTCTGTGGCCTAGGGTGGCCTCCAGTTTGATCCCTTCCTACCTCAGCATCCTAGTTTTTGGATTAACAGGGATGTGAATTAGGTTTTCTGTTTTTATTTCTGATGTTTATAAAAATTCTGAGAAATAGGAAAGATAGAGATCATTTTCCAGAAATCACTGTCTTTTGTGTTTAAGAGACTGTCCTGAAACTATGTTTTTTTTTTTTTTATATTCGACAGATTTTCAGCAAGCCTTGTATGAGTTATCATATCATGTCATTAAAGGAAATTTAAAGCATGAACAAGCATCTAATGTTCTTACTGATATTAGTGTAAGTATAAACAAATTTATTTAAAACTTAATTTTTTGTGTCTCTTTGATACAAAGATCCTTGATGTGTAACTTAATGTTTTATTTTATTCAAAATTATTGTAGTGTTTAACATAAAGTTGGTAAGTCATTTTTTTCTAGACATGTATAGATATTTATCAGGTTGTGAGTAAAGCAGAAATGATAAATAAGCAAGTTGAGGAGAGTAAAAAAGTTCACTTTAATGAAGTAAGGCATTCTTAATTAAAAATGCTCTTCTAAAGGTGAGCACTGGTGGCTCAGGCCTGCAATCCTTGCTACTCAGGAGCCTGAGATCTGTCTGAGGAATAGTAGTTCAAAGCCAGCCCAGGCAGAAAAGTTCATGAGACTCTTATCTCCAATAAACTATTCAGAAAAAGCTAGAAGTGACGCTGTGGCTCAAGTGGTAGAGCGCTAACCTTGAACACAAAGAGGCTCAGGGACAGCGCCCACGCCTTGAGTTCAAGCCCCAGGTCTGGCAGAAAAAAAAAAAAAGCTTCTTTAAAAATAGTTAAAATATTTTTCTTCAAATATGATGAAGCTTTTTAAACAATTATGATTACAATTCAGGATTTTTATAATTGATACATAAGTTGTATTGTGCTCACATTGATCTAAAATTTTTCCTAATTTTTTGTCTGCTTACCCTGTTTTAGAAACCATTAAATTTTTAAACCTGTAGGTGGTTAATATTGCAGCATTTAATTTAGATTCAAATTTAGATTCAGATTAAATACTTTGTGGTGGTTGGTATTTGGGCTGTTAAATTGTAAGAGTGTATATTATAAACCAGGAGTTAAAGCATGGGGTTTTACAAGTGGTGTGCTATTCTAGTATTATTCTTAGGTTGTTTTTTACACTTATATAAATAATTTTGTCTACTTGAGAACATTTTTTTATAATAACAAGTATTGAGTTGGGATCTGTAGGTTCTTGATCTCTCTATGAATTTCCCTTGTGTGCTTTAAATTTCTCTGTCCTTTTCCTTTTTTAGGGGTAGGATATTTCCTTTATATGATTTTTAAAAATACATTGCTATTTCAATACATTTTAAGTACTTCTACTTAAGGAAATTCTAGGTTTAGCTGTTGTGACTCCTCTACTCTCATTGAGGTATGTTTGAGTGGTAGATCTTCTGATGATAAAATAGCAGCATTGTTAATGGTGAAGTGATTTATTTCTTAAGAATCTTAGATTTCAGGGCTGGGAAGGTGGCTCGGTGGTAGAGCACTTGCCTTGCATGCATGAGGCCCTGAGTTTGATTCCTTAGCACCACATAAGCAAAAAGAAAAAAGCCGGAAAGTGGCGCTGTGGCTCAAGTGGTAGAGTGCTAACCTTGAGCTGAAGAGCTGAGGGACAGCGCCCTGGCCCAGAGTTCAGGCCCCATGACCGGACCCCCCCCATAAAACAAAAAGAATCTTAGATTTCATGTTTATAAACTCTTGTATTGCTTTATTTCTCCTTCCTCCTCCTCTTTCTTTTCTTCTCTGCCAGTCTAGGGCTTTGGACTTTTTGACACAAGGCTAGCATGCTACCACTTTAGCCACAGCTCAACTCTGGCTTTTTAGTAGTTAGCTGGAGATGAGTGCCACAGACTTTACTGCCTGGGCTGCTTTCAAACTGTGAGTCTCAGATATTAGCCTCCAGAGTAGCTAGGATTATAGGCATGAGCCACTCTGGTGCCTGTCTTATTTTTTTCTTTTCTTTTTTTTTTGGGGGGGGGGGCAGTCGTGGGGCCTGAACTCTGGGCCTGGGTGCCATCCCTCAGCTCTTCAGCTCAAGGCTAGCACTCTACCACTTGAGCCACAGCGCCACTTTCGGTTTTTTTCTTTTTGCTTATGTGGTGCTGAGGAATCGAACCCAGGGCCTCAGGCATGCAAGGCAAGCGCTCTACCACTGAGCCACTTTCCCAGCCCCTTATTTTTTTTCTTAAAAGCCAAAAGGATGGAATGAATGTATGTGTGTGTATGTATGTGTATGTTTATGTGTATGTGTATGTGTGTAGCTGTACAAAGGGATTTCAATCACTTTGTCAGTTTGTGGGTGCAATGTATATTAATCAGAATCTTCCCTTCCATCATTTTCCCCCATCTCTCCCAAACCCTCTCATCTATTCAGTATTTCTGGTCTTCCAAGTGTAGCCTGAGTACTTGGATTTAAGTAAATACATCCAAAGGTGTTTTTTTTTGTCAATTGTGGGGCCTGAACTCTGGGTCTGGGCGCTGTCCCTCAGCTCTTCAGCTCAAGGTGAGCGCTCTACCACTTGAGTCACAGTGCGACTTCTGGCTTTTTCTGCTTATGTTGTGCTGAGGAATTGAAACCAGGGCCTCATGCATGCAAGGCAAGCACTCTACCACTTAGCCACATTCTCAGGCCCCATCCAAAGTTCTTACCCTTGAGAAACTTAAGGCTAAAATCTGATTGATCACAAAGGTGAACTGGGTATCATAGTAATTTGTAGTGGATTTATGAACTCTAATTTTAAATATTTTTCTATTTAATGAAAATAGGTTGTTCAAATGAGCTTTATACAGTCTAGCAGATTTTCTTTTTTTTGAGCAAATTTTCTTTGTCGTAGCTTTCTCATAATAATACACTCTGTGTAATATGTTAGCCACAGAAGTGTATTTTATATGTATCATTATAATGGCTATTTTTAGAATTTCTTATAGTCTCTGAAAATCTATGAATTTTAGGGTTGCTATAGGTTTACCAAACTAAAATGACATTAATTGAATTATGATCCTTATTAATAGAAAATGGTTCTAAAATTGAGCATCAGAGTGGGAAGTCAGAAGATAAACGTAGAATAATTCTGATATTCTCATCCAGAAACAGGAATTGGGCTACATTCCTCCAAAGGCTATAAACTAGAGTGAATAGGGAAAATATAGATTTTGGTAATTTTTATTTTCAGAGAATCTTGCATTGTAGAACAAATAGCTGTTATATATTTTTTAGATTTTTGGTCTTTGGATGCCATTATGATTTTTATGTAGCTCAAGTGTTGACTTAGCATTTGAATACTTGAATAAAATGTATCATTTTAATGGCTATTGGTGGGTCACACCTATAATCCTAGCTATTGAAGCCAACTCAGTCAGGAATGTCTAGAAGAGTTTTTTTTTTTTCTTTTTGGTCGGTCATGGGGCTTGAACTCTGGGCCTGGATGTTGTCCCTGAGTTCTTCTGCTCAAGGTGAACACTCTACCACTTGAGCCACAGCACCACTTACAGCTTTTTCTGTTTATGTGGTGCTGAGGAATTGAACCCAAGTCCTCATGTATGCAAGGCAAGCACTCTACCACTGAACCACCTTCTTAGCCCTCTGGGAGACTTATCTCCAGTAAACCACCCAAAGTCAGAAGCTATAGCTCAACTAGTTGTACACTAACCTGGAGCAAAAAAGCTTAGGGACAGTATCCAGGCCCTGAATTCAAGCCCCAGGACTGGCACAAAAAGAAAAACAAACAAATGTAACATTTTTGACAGTCTGGGTTTAGGTAGTTGTGAGGTATTCTGAATTCCAGTGCTTTCCTTGGTGCTTTCATGAGATTCTTTTATCAATTATTTTATGGCAAACTTTATTTTGATCATTCTAAATCATTTTATCTTTTATATTAAACATAATTTGAAGATGTTGGGGTTTTTGTTAGCTTATAAGCATGAAGCATGTTATTGTGAAGTTATAATGCTTAATATGTGCTATTATTAACTATAAATAAATATATCTTTAAAATTAGGAATTTCGCGAGGATATGCCCTCCATTCTTGCTGATGTATTCTGCATACTAGGTAGGTATTAAACCTTTATTTCACCTGTAATATACTGCTTTTTAAAAATTAACAGTAATGTTTTATTTCAGGCTGGAGACATGGCTCAAGGTAGAGTGCTTACTTGACCCGGAATTCAAATTTAAGTACTACAAATTTTTTAAAAAATAAATATTTTACGAGTATGCATTTGTTTCTGTAAATCTAGAGAAATCTTTTGTAATCATTTTTAAAATTGTTTTTAGATATAATGCAAATTTTTGAGCGTTTAGCAATATTTATATAAATTTGAGCGAAATTAACTCATTGTAAGCAAAAACAGCCAAGTTCTCTGACATTAAGTATGAATTTACTAAACAAATAATGTCATTCAATTCAGTTTCCAAAGAGTGATATCAGAGTTTCATATTTATGTCACTCTGATTTTGCTGTTGTGCTTGTTTGATTCTTCTTAATTTTAGAAAGACCAAGAAGAGCCAAAGTAACAGAGTATTTGTGTTTGCCTGGGTGCTGGTGGCTCATTCTTCTAATCCTAAATGCTTAGGAGGCTTGAGATCTGAGGAACATAGTTCAAAGCTAGCATAGGCAGGAAAGTCCATGAGACTTTTATCTCCAGTTAACTACTAAAAAGCCAAAGTGGAGTAGTGGCTCAAGATGTAGAGCACCGACCTTGAGCAAAAAAAATAAAAAATCGTCAGACAAAGCGCCCAGAGTATCGGGACCAAAAACAATATACTTGTGTTTTGAGAATTAGAAACTAGCTTTGGGGATAATGTCTTTTCTATTTGTCCACAATAAATAAGAACTCATGCACAATGAAAATATTTCTGTGACTTAGAACAAAGGTAATATCCCTTCATGGGAAGCATGGATTAAAAAATAATGTCTATAATAATTTCTTTAATTTTAGATCCTGATTAAGAGAACATTGTTTCTAGTTTTCCCATTGGTTTTGTGCTTTCTGTAATTTTTTTCTTTCTATAATACTGAGTCTAGGAGAAATCATTACTTGGCATTATAATACTTAAAGTAAGATATTTTCTCAGTTTGTCAAGCTAAAATGAATTATTTTAGTTCATCATTCTTAATTCCTAGAATTAGATAAATACTTAGATGTTACTGAGATTGCAAAATTTGATCTAAGCACATATAAATGTCAGTGTGTGATCCTTCATAAGGTTTCAGATTTCAGAATATTGATGATGTTGAGAGCAGTTCAAAATATGTGAACTGTGAGTGCTAGATGTGAAGTACAGGTTCTTAATGAACTATCCATATGTCCTTGATCATCTGTCTCATATTCATTGGCATAATTATTTAGTAGTGCTCTGTTTCTTCTTCTTTTTTTTGTTGGTCCTGGGGCTTGAACTCTCCACCTGGAACTGTCTCTGAGCTTCTTTTGCTCAAGATGAGCTCTCTACCACAGCGCCACTTCTGGCATTTTTTGAGTAGTTTATTGGAGATAAGAGTCTCACAGACTTTCCTCCCTGGGCTTCCTGCCTGCAGGAACTGCAGTCCTCAGATCTCAGTCCCCTAAGTAGCTAGGATTACAGGTATGAGCCACCGGTGCCTGGCTGTAGTAGTGCCCCCTTTTATTCTTGAATCTGTTCTCCTTTGGATGATAAATTATATGTTTATGCTATCAAATTGATTGTTTTATGCTAAACAAAACACCTTTTAAACTTAATTTTTGAAGCTAGCACTAAAGATAGGTTATTTTACAATGAAATATAATGAAACAAGTTTCAGTTAAAATTTTTTATGCAATACATTTTTAAGACTGAGACTGATTTTATTTAGCCAAGATTTATGAAAGCTGTTATTCCTTAGTAGTTTAGAATTACACTTGATTTTGTGAAAAGCCCTCAATTTTATTAATCCTTAATAGTTTTAGAATTATCTTTGACTAGTCATCAGTTGTTAATCTATTTGTTCTAGTAATTTTTTATCCACTTATTTGTTAGGATGTAGTTTCCTTTCATAGTTATGTACTCATATGAATTAATGTTATACATCTTTACTTTTTACTAGTAACATGAATTCTTGAATGTGATACTTGGTTATTCTTTGGAAATTTAGTCGATCTAATTAATTTTTGCTCCATCATGCTGTTTTTCTATTATGTTGTTAAAAGAGAAATTAGTGCTATATCTCTTTCAAGTTAACATAACTTAAAAAAAGGACTTCTGAAAAAAAGAACAAAAAGTGGAAAAAGGGGGAAAAAGACATGTAGTGTGAGGGAGAATGAGCATTTTAACTTGAAAAGGGAATTCTGAAGAGTTGATGTTCATAGGACCTCTGAGGTGGTGTTACGTATTTGATACTGATGACAAGTGTTGAAAAAAATGGGATTTTTCACTAAAATAATTGGGGAACATAAAACTTAGTACGGTAAAGGAGTCAGGGATAAGTGAGTTTATCTGAATGGTCTTATGAACTAGAACAGAAAGCACAAAGAAAATAGGGAAAGCACAATGAAGATAACAAAGTACTATATTGCTGTTTGGGAAGGCTCAGCTAAGAAATTTATGGAAGGCCTATTATGCATTTGCTCACATGGTGAGAAGCTAAGATAATACCTTATTTAGGTCAGGTGGCTAATAAGAGATCAGAGGATGAATCTTCTCTTAGGTATTCTAATCTTAGGGACCTTGAGTGTGGATCTTAGGAACTTTTGGGCCCTGGAGGATGAATAGGTATTGGTTAAGTGAATAAGCCCACTTTGGTCTCAACTTCTTAATGTTAGTGTCCTTGAATTTATAAGCAGCAAAGGGCCTAGAAGACAAGACCAGATAATATCATAACAACTGGGAGTTTCTGGAAAGACTTGATAAGATACCCATGGATTAAAAATCATAATGAGAAATTGAGATTGTACTGCAATTTATATCCTATAAATTATACTCTAAAATTTTCCTCCCTCTTTTTTTTGGGGGGGGGGGTCTTTGAATCCAGGGTCTCAAACATGCTAGGCAGGGACTGATTGGGAAGGTGGCTCAGTGGTAGAGTGCTTGCCTTGCATGCATGAGGCCCTGGGTTCGATTCCTCAGCACCACATAAGCGGAAAAACCCAGAAGTGGCGCTGTGGCTCAAGTGGTAGAGTGCTAGCCTTGAGCTGAAGAGCTGAGGGACAGTGCCCAGGCCCAGAATTCAAGCCCCACAACCGACAAAAACAAAATAAAAACAAGGGGCTTTGAAGGTGGCTCAGTGGCAGAGTGCTTGCCTTGTATGTATGAGGCCCTGGGTTCGATTCCTCAGCACCACATAAGCAGAAAAACCCAGAAGTGGCGCTAATGGCAGAGCACTAACCTGGAGCTAAAGAGCTGAGGTACAGTGCCCAGGCCCAGAGTTCAGGCCCTATGATTGACAAAAACAAACAAACAAACAAAAAACATGCTAGGCACTCAGCTACTTGTCTTCCTCCTAAAATTTCCTTTACATACTTGTGCTAACTTTGGACTTGGCTACTCGGGTCAGATATGGGAAATGACAGTTGTCCAAGAAAGAAAGGTGGGGAAGGACTAGGAAATGTTTTTTGTCTTTTTATTTTATTTATTTATTTATTTATTTTTTGGGAGGGAGTCCGGTCGTGGGGCTTGAACTCTGAGCCTGGGTGCTGTCCCTCAGCTCTTCAGCTCAAGACTAGCGCTCTACCACTTGGGTCACAGCGCCACTTCCAGCTTTTTTTTTTTGCTTCTGTGGTGCTGAGGAATGGAACCCAGGGCCTCATGCATGCAAGACAAGCGCTCTACCGCTGAGCTACCTTCCCAGCCTCTTTTGTCTTTTTACACATTGCTTTTGTTGGCTTGGGATATAGCTCCATGGCAAAGCGCTTGCCTAGCAACATCCTGGGTTTGAGCCCCATTACCAAAGAAGAAAAGACAAAAAAAATACAGTTAAAAAATGCTTTTGTTAAGGAGTTGCACAAAGAGGATACAATACCATAAGTTAGGTATTAAGTACAGTTCTTCTGGGACAATATCATCCCTTCCTTTGCTTTCCCACATTTTCCCCTTCCTTGTCCTTGCTCACAGGTTGCATAGTTCATTTTGCATAGTGTATATTGGATACAGTGTCTGCATTTGTTCACTCTTATTTCCCCCATTCCTGTGTCCCCCTTAACCCTCCTAAAAGACAACATCAATAAAAATACCACCACCACCAAGAAAAATATGTTTCCTGGAATTTATTTTGGTAACTAATACTTCAGATGTCCAAAGGAGTTACAAATATATAGAAGAGTTACATCTTTGGGTTCCTTGCCTAAGTGCCAAAGTGTATCCTATCCCCCTTTAGTCTGATTATTTGTGTGTAGCTGCATAAAGCCCAGTATGAGATATCATGTCCAGTTGTATTTTAAATTTAGTTTCCACATATGAGAGAAAACATGCGCTCTTTGTCACTCTGAGCTTGGCTTACCTCACTTAAATGTGATTTGTTCTAGGTCTATCCATTTCCCTGTGAATGACATAATATTATTCTTTCTGATGGTTGAGTAAAATTCTATTGTGAGGAAAATGTTTGAAGATAAATGTTTTGTTTGATGATAAATCTCCTCTTTTCATTTTATTGTTGTCAGTAGAAAGTAAATTGAAGCAAAGTGGTCGTAGGATGTCGATTATTTTGGAACCATTTAGAGGCCATTTTTCTTCACTAAATGTATGCCTTTTTATAGCATGCTCCTGTGCTACCAGCTTGCTTTTTGTTGTTGTTGGTTGTGGGGCCTGAACTCTGGGCCTGAGCACTGTCCCTGAGCTCTTCAGCTCAAGGCTAGCGCTCTACCACTTGAGCCATAGTGCTATGCCCAGGTTTTTCTGAGTAGTTTGTTGGAAGTAAGAGTCTCAGGGACTTTTCTGCCGGGTCTAGCGTTGAACCAAGATCTTTATATCTCAGCCTCTAGAGTAGCTAGGATTACAGGTGTGAGCCCTGCTCTTAAAATTAGTTTTTTTTTTTTTTAAACAGCTGTGGGGCTTGAACTCTGTGCCTGGGCACTGTCCCTGAGCTCTTCAGCTCAAGGCTAGTGCTCTACCACTTGAGCCACAGCACCACTTCCAGCCTTTTCTGTTTATATGGTACTGAGGAATTGAACCCAGGGCTTCATGCATGCAAGGAAAACATTCTACCACTAAGCCACATTTCCAGCCCTTAAAATTAGTTTTTAGTTTTTGTTGGTCATGGGGCTTGAACTCTGGGTCTGGGTGCTGTCCCTGAGCTCTTCAGCTCAAGGCTAGCACTCTATCACTTGCACCACAGTGCCACTTCCAGTTTTCTGAGTGGTTTATTGGAGATAAGCGTCTCAGGGACTTTCCTGCTGACTGTGAACCTTGATCCTCATATCTCAGCCTGAGTAGCTAGGATTACAGGCCTGGCTTTTTCTACTAGAGTCTAGATAAATCATAATTTTCTTTTTTTTTCATTGTAGATATTGAGACAAATTGCTTAGAAGAAAAAAGCAAGAGAGACTATTTTACACAATTGGTATTAGCATGTTTGGTAAGTTTTAAAAACATTTTCCCTTTCTAAAATTTGAAGTTATAATTACATGCTAATGGAGGATATTGACATTCACTTGATGTTATTATAAGATGAGATTTGGATTTTGAAACAATGTTTTGTAAAATTAGTCGTATTTCTATGAAATAAACAAGTTACCAAATTACTTAAGTGCTCTCTCTCTACACACACACACACACACACACACACACACACACACACACACACACACACACACACACACACACACACACACAACTTTTAGTGCTATTATTAAGTTCCTAATAAATAATTAAAGGAAGTAAACATAGTTGTGGATAGCTTTTCACCTTATTTTTTTCCACAAGCCATTTTATTAAGTAGGAGGAAAGGAGTTAGTTTAAAAATAATAAATTAGAAAAACGAGGGAGGGACTAACAATGTTGAACAAAATATGTACTCATTACCTTATGTATATAACTGTAACACCTCTGTACATTACCTTGAAAATAAAATTAAATTAAAAAAATAAACTACTGAATTTGTCATAGTCATTGATTCAGAAACCGTTTCATGTTAATAAATTTAGAACAAAGAGAAAATACCAATACTCAGTCTTGGAAGAATGCTCTTGTCTTTACTATATTAGAGTTTGACTTATACACAAAACTATAGAAAGCTGAAAAGTGAACATATAAATGAATATAAGTGAAAATTCTATTGAGACATACTAAATTTAATGAGAATTTCACCTGTAGTTCTTGTCATTTGTAGGTGGTAATCACCATACATGTAATATTAAGTGAAGTTCCTGAAAGAGCTGTATATTATATAGTTTAGTATTTTGTCAAATTGAAATTCTATGTTTTTAAGAATCATAAACATATATGTAAACATGTATATATATAAACATGAGATAGGATTTTTGGAAAAATTCTTTTGAATGTATACTTTCAATGCTAAAGGAGAAATGACTTAAATCTTTTTTATTAGTATTTAGTTTCAGACACAGTTCTAAAGGAACGTTTGGATCCAGATACATTGGAATCATTGGGGCTTATCAAACAATCACAGCAATTCAATCAAAAGTCAGTTAAAATCAAGACAAAGCTCTTGTAAGTATAGGTGGCTTATGTTGTAAATCAAGTAGCCAAATGTTTTATTTCTCATTTTGAAGAGTAGCCATTTCTAAAGACATTTTGAAGATTTTTTTTTTGTTTGCAGTTAGCAAAGGTTTTGTGTGTTTTTCTGCTTTTATTGAAATGGCAGTTGAGTTTTAACAGTAAAATAATTTTCAAGTATGTTTATATATAAGGATTCATAATCAATGATAGAAATAGTGTGTTATTCCTTGGCATTTTTTTTCTTGTTACTGGTTTTCCTTCTTTAATTACATTGGGTTTGAAAAGATAATGCAAGGAGGTAAACTTTTAGGATTGTTTAAAACTTTTCAATGAGAAAAGTACACGGATCTGTGCAAGCTTGTTAATTGAAATTAATCTTATTCCCTTAATGGTATTTATCTGATTTCAGCTATAAACAGCAAAAATTCAATTTATTAAGAGAAGAGAATGAAGGTTATGCTAAGCTGATTGCTGAATTGGGACAAGATTTATCTGGAAATGTTACTAGTGATTTAATCTTAGAAAATATCAAGTCTTTAATTGGTAAGATATAACATATATCTGTTTAAGATGTGTTATTAAGTAAACTTTTTAACTTACAGAATATCCATAAACACAAATTGAGTACATTGGACACATATAGTTTTCAGTTATGAAATAAGCATGTGTCTACCTTGTATTTTAGTATGTTATCAGTGACATTTGTGTGTTTATATCAGGTCCTGTTCTGTAATATTTCTGTCTTTTTAAGCATTTTTCATCATTTTATAATGGATAGAAAAATAAAAGTGAAAACTGTAATGAATGAATTGAACTCTTGAAACCTAGCAATGTTCTTTTGCACATTTTTGAGGTGGGGGGTCGGGTGTGGCAGTACTGAAGTTTAAACTCAGGACTTGCTGCTTGTTATTCAGGTACTCTACTGCTCATCTATGTCTCTATCCCTGAACTTGGATTTAAAAATTCCTTTACAAGGGATTTTGATACATAGTTTATATTATTTTAATTTTTATTACTTTATCTTTACAATTGCCTCTTAAAGTAAATGTAACACAATGCTGCAAAAAGTATAACAGGAAAATGTTTAGAAGTTGCATTTCTGTAGCATTCTTTTTTTTTTTTTGGGTCGGTTGTGGAGCTTGAAGTCTGGGCTTGGGTGCTGTCCCTCAGCTCTTCAGCTCAAGGCGAGTGCTCTACCGCTCGAGCCACAGCACCACTTGCGGTTTTCTAGTGGCTTATTGGAGATAAGAGTCTCATAGACTTTACTGCCGGGGCTGGTCTTGAACCACAATCCTCAGATCTCAGCCTCCTGAGTAGCTAGAATTACAGGCGTGAGCCACCGGTGTCTGGCATGCATTTTTTTTTTAAAAGGAAATTTCATTGAGCATTTGGAGGAAGTAGTTACAGAAAAATAGAGTAAAGCTGGTGCTGGTGGTTCATGCCTGTAATTCTAGTTATTTAAGAGGTTGAGATTTAGGATTATGGTTCAAAGCCAGTCTGGACAGGAAAGTTTGAGACTCTTCATCTCTAATTATGCACCAAGAAGCTAAAAGTGGAGCTTTGGCTCAAGTGGTAAGAGTGCCAACCTTGAGCAAAAAAGCTAAAAGACAGTGCCCAGGCTTTGGATTCAAGCCCTAGCACTGACATACACAAAAATAGAGTAATCTTGTTTTTCCAAAGGTGGAAGGAATCTCAGATATTGTTGGTTAGTATTTTTTCTAATGTAAGGTAAACTTTAAAGTACGGTGGTCTTAAGTTTTGAGACCTATGAGAGAACTCTTTATTTTCTTCCTTAGTGATTCCCTCTTAGGAGATCCTTGTCCTTATCATCTCCCTTTCTTCCCTTTGTCTTTGTGGCAAAGTAAGAGCTGGTGGCCTAATCTTTATTTCCTTCCCTCTAATGCTTCATGTAGGCACCCAAATAAAAACAGTATTTATTAGTCTTCCTTGTTCTTTGGTTCGACTTTTGGTAACTACAAGCATAAAAGGTAAGCTAACTTCTCAGTTTACATTTACCCTTTTCTTTGAAGTAACTCTAATTCTGGCAGCTGAGAAATAAGCCTGTATGGCTGCAGAACTCTTGATAACCTTAGTGGTATTGAAGCATTAAACAAAATCCTCCTGTAGGGGTTCCTTTCTTTTCAGTATATGCCTGTACATTTTACCTGCAGTAATTTTTTATTTTTTTTTTATTTTTTATTTTTTTTATAGTACATGTACAAGGTTTATTTGAAATAGTCATAAATAATCCCACACATTTATTAAAACATATCAGCTCAGTAGAAAGTCTGGAATTGTGATAATGTTCCCAGTTTGCAGTAATTTTTTAAAGTAGCTCAAGAAGGCTGACAAAACTGGTTTGCTATAGTTTTGTATTCCCGTATTTAGTAAGATAATATGAAAATCCTGTAGTATGTACAGTCTTTCATTCGTCTGCTTTTAGTTTATTTCCTTTTTGGTTTAGTAGTATGTACAGTCCTTCATTTGCTTTTAGTTTATTTCCTTTTGTGTTTATATCTCTGTCTTTTTTGTTCTTATTAGTTTATTTATGTTATTTTGGGAATATTTTAGAGAAATTTCCTTGAAGGTATGCTTTTACTTAACTAACATACACTACTTTTCTTTAGCTTTTTTCCTATATAGAACAAGTAAGTTAGTGTCTCTGACAAGCAATGTGAAAATCTCCACTGCAAGCTCATGGCATTTCCATGAGTGTAGACCATTCCTAACCTATTAGGCATGCTATGAAGCATGGTAGAGCAGATGCATTTAAACATTACCTTCTGTATCCTTCTCATGCTCCTTCTATCAGAACTCTCTATTGTTCCCTGGTTATTTTTCTTAGCACTTTACAGTATTTAATGTACAGTTGGCCTTCTGTGTGTCCATGGAATGTATTTGTGGGGGAGGGAGAAAAATATTTTTTTTTTTGGGTCTGGTCGTGGGGCCTGAACTCTGGGTCTGGGCACTATCCCTCAGCTCTTTAGCTCAAGGCCAGCGCTCTACCACTTGAGCCACAGCACCACTTCTGGCTTTTTTCTTTTTGCTTATGTGGTGCTGAGGAATCGAACCCAGGGCCTCAGGCATGCAAGGCAAGCGCTCTACCACTGAGCCACCTTCCCAGCCCCAAGAAAAATAATTTATTCACAGGCTTTTTTTTCCCCTTGTCAATAGTCCCTAATCAAAGTAACAGCAATTCATGTGGTACTTATAGTATATTATGTGTTATAAGTAATCTAGAGATAGTTTAAAGTATACAAGAAGATGTATGTAGTCTATGTGAAAATGATCATCGGTTTTGGTATCCTCAAGGGTGTCTTAGAATCATCTCTCTTGCATACTGAGTAATGATCTATTTTAAGCCCCCTTCTACATGAATGTAAGCTCATTGAGAACAGTTGCTTCTGTTTGCATTGTTTATTATCTTGTCCTCAGTGTCTGGTATGAGGTGTTAAATAAATACTAGGTGAAAATGAATAATAAATTTGCCCATTTTTTACAGGGTTCTCTCAGGCTTAGTGTTTGTTTCTTTCTTGTTAGATGACTTTTCTCTTTCCCCAGTGGTGTGAGAAAAAGAACTTTTAATTGATGGAAAAATTGAGGTCAGGACTTTTAATTCAATGAGTATTCCTTGAATGTTACAATTCATTAAATTCTCTCTCAAAAGAAACTTCATCTTGGACTAGTCTGTACTGTCCAGAACAATTCAGACACAGCATCCTTTTGCTGCTTTTTTTTTTTTTTGGTCAGTTGTGGGGCTTGAACTCTGGGCCTGGGCACTGTCCATGAGCTCTTCAGCTCAAGGCTAGTGCTCTATCACTTGAGCCACAGTGCCACTTCCGGTTTTCTGGTGGTTTATTGGAGATAAGAGTTTCACGGACTTTTCCTGCCCTGGCTGGCTTTGAACCATGATCCTCAGATCTCAGCCTCCTGAGTAGCTAGGATTACAGGCTTGATCCACCAGCCCTGTGTTTTTGTTTTTGGATTACTTTAGATGGATTTCTCTGTGCTTATTCCCACTATTTTCTATTTTAGGAGAATTTCAAATGAATAATACTTTATACAAAATTCTCATTGGTTTGATCTCATTTACTAGATACTGTCAGAAACATACTTAATTTAGGTGGTATATGATTTATGTGTGCTTTCATTCAGGGTACTTTTTTTGGGGGGGGGGGGTCCAGTTGTGGGGCTTGAAGTCTGGGCTTGGGTTCTGTCCCTCAGCTCCTCAGCTCAAGGCTAGCGCTCTACCACTTGAGCCACAGCTCCACTTCTGGCTTTTTTCTTAATTTTTTTTTTTTTATTTCGGTCGTGGGGCCTGAACTCTGGGTCTGGGTGCTGTCCCTCAGCTCTTCAGCTCAAGGCTAGCGCTCTACCACTTGAGCCACAGCGCCACTTCCGGCTTTTTTCTTTTTGCTTACGTGGTGCTGAGGAATCGAACCCAAGGCCTCAGGCATGCAAGGCAAGTGCTCTACCACTGAGCCACCTTCCCAGCCCTGGCTTTTTTCTTTTTGCTTATGTGGTGCTAAGGAATCGAACCCAGGGCCTCATGCATGCAAAGCAAGCACTCTACCACTGAGCCACCTTCCCAGCCCCTCAGGGTGCTTATTGTGATCTGGATAAATCCTACTTACCCTTTAGTTGAAAGGTACTTCTTTGTTTCTGGATCTTCAAAAATGTTTATATTCTATTAGAGGGCCTGGGAGTATGTAAAGCATGAGCAAACCTGGCAGTATAAATGATAGTGTTGTATAATAGTGCCTGTGATAGCAAGTCTGATATGAAATCTGACTTAAATAGGAGTGAAGAGTGATTAGTAAACCTGTTGACTTGCCAAGTTGATAGTTCTTTTCAAGTAGATCTTGCTTTCATTAAGATGGTAGAAATTCGAGAAAAGACTGTCAGAGGTTGCCAGGACTCAGCTGGAAAGGGAACTGTGGCTAGCTCAGGGACAGTGCCTAAGCTCTGAGTTCAGTCATTGGTCAACAACCTGTTTTATTGGATATCAACCTGTTATCCTACTACCTAGTAGGATAATAAATAGGTTTTGACTTTGTGGGTTATATAGTTTCTATTGCACCTACTTAACTATTGTTGTAGGGTGAAAGCAGACATAGGCCATATATAAATAAGCAGGTGTGACTGTGCTTTAGTAAACCTTTAGAGTGTGTGTGTGTGTGTGTTTGTGTATGTGTTAGTATTTGGGTTTGAATTTAGGGCATGAGTGCTTTCCTTTAGTTTTTTCTCTCAAGGCTGGTACTCTACCACATGAGCCACAGCTCCACTTTTGCATTTTGGTGGTTAATTGGAAGTAAGAGTTGCATGAACTTTCCTGCTTGGGCTTACTTTGAACCATAATCCTCAGATCTCAGCCTCCTGAGTAGCTAGGATTGCAAGTGTGAGCCACCAGTGCCCGGCTTGTGTCAATCATTGTTATAAACATCTTTATTATTATTCCATGCATATATACAGATAAATAATTGGGTTTAACTCACAGGCTATTGTTGATTTTTGGTCTACACCAAAAGCTCTAGCTAGAAATT